CAGTGAGAATTTACAGTTGAGAGATGGTGATTCAAGAACTATTGGTGAGCACCTAGAAGGTGAACTCGTTGTTCGATACATTGGCACTCAGAGTCTACTTTACGTTATCAAATTACCTAACGTACAGAAATGGTATTTTTCTCTGCCTAAAAAGGAGGGAAAAACTGCTGCTAGCATTTTATACCATCACTTGGAGGAACAAAGGATCAAATTTGATACTATTGGTGACGCGAACCTTAAAGCTAAAGGCGGTGCCGTTGAGAAAATTATGAAAGAATTAGTTGACTATACTCTGGAAAAGCGAGTGAAGGAGCTGAGATTGGAGAAAGCGATCGTCGGTAAGAGCTCCAGATTCGACGATTGGGTAACGGACGCAGCATCTTTGAAAGCTAACGTTGCCACGTCTGTGTTGCCCACATTGCAAAAGATTTTTTCGAAAGAGAAGATTCTTCTTCATTGTGCTGTTGCCAAACCATCGAGTGAGGAGGCAAAAACACTTGTAAACGAAATACAGAACGCGATCAAGCCGTCAAAGACATAAGTTTGTTGACCGGTTTCAGATGAACAGATTTTTTCTTTAATGGTTTTTTGGCGAAAGATTGGATTGATTACATATGTCTGAAACATCCTGAATAAGTGGATCTCGTCATTACTGGGATTAACAGCCACTACACTATCATTCAGGACGTGAAAGCGAACATGCTCAGGTACACTTTTTTGTCCAGACTTAGACGAGTAAGTGGGATGTTTGTTAATTAATTTAGGTACCTAAAAAAATACACGCAAAATTGCATTCTTGAATTCTTTTGTAATTATATGTGCTACGGATTTCCCCAAAAAAGTTAAATGTTTGTTTGGTTTATAATGAAACAACAGCTCGACTACATCTTTTGAAGAAATTGCAAACGATCGTTACAGCATGTTATTGAATACCAGTGAGAGATTGTGATAATGTTCCAGAAACATATCAGGGTAAAAGTCAGCAGCAAAACATCTCGAGAATAATTTAAACACGGAATCTGTCTAAAGTGAGTTCTAAGTGCTTGATGACTGTAAATTATTTCTTACTGACTCCTCTAGAAACACGACGTCTCTGGACGTCACAGCCTGTGAAATTTATCTTCTACTAGATGCCAAAAGTATAACACTAACGTGTGTTTGACTCTCTGTTCAATACCCAAGGCAAAAGTATCTCACGGTCAAGCTGAAGTGCCAATGTGCTGAGTACATTGAAAATACGCGGGCTATTGATGTGTGATATGGACATGAATCAAGTAAAGGTGTATGATCACCAAAATCATTGAAAGCGAGATAAACGGATTTAACAGCGCACAGACAGCGCACAAATAGCGCACAGACAACGCACGATTCATGGGAAAGAGATATCGCGATCATGGTAACGGCTGATGACGTACAAGTTTAAGAACAGTCATTTGAAAGATGATTGTAGTTAAGCCGTCCTGACTAGCGTGACTTGTTTAAACGGCAAACGGTGTTGTGACCACGAGTCAGCAAATGATAAGTGTCACTTATTTAAAAACAACATACTCAAGGGCTCAATCAACAAATCATGTGACCAATATAGTGGTAATTCCGGGGGAATCGGTCAATGCTGCTCTTGATAAGGTTGTTGCTGTACTGCGCGACCAATACGCACCGCTGGTCACGCGGCTTCCCTTTCAATGAAAAATGCGACAGAAGTGTGATCACTCTCAAGTAGCGGAATATGATTTTCGACCTCAGCTTCACTGACGTCAACGGTGCCAGTGATGTGCATATTTTAATAGACGAATACAGATGGAGTAAGCTCAGCGATGAAGCAAATTCATTCAATGGGCAGAGTTTTGTCGATCTCGCTCAGCTTGGGTGATGATAGTTGTGCATCGATTACGACCGAGTTGATGCGTCGTCATAAAGTAGGTAATATATACTTGAAAGTGTCGTCGCCACCGATCCGACAGCGTAAAGTGTATTTTTGTAACAACATCTCCGAACACTGCAGCAGTCGAAAAGAGAGAAAATTTTGTACAAACTAAATTGATGCAAATTTTCCACGGAAATTATTTTTGCTCATTATTTCCAAGATGGCAACTCTGTTTTAAGCATTTACTCATTATTGGCTTTCGTTGGGCTTTTGCACATCGGACATCATATCTGAACCTCTTTTTTATGGATGGGAGGGGAGGACAGACATGAGGTATGACAATTGCAAAGAAATATTTGAATATGACGCGTTCTGCGTCTAAGTCACAAACACGGATCACGATGGCTATCCCATTCCTTGCCAAACCAGTATTCTATTTTGTACTGGTAATTTTGATATCCTGTATATCTATTAATGCGCTATTACGCACTCCAACTGACGTTTTGGTTACGAAAGCAATCAAGCCCTAATGTCAGTAAGTTGAAGACCACTATAGGATCAATGTCGTAACGTTGCCAATAAGTCACAGCTGCACGATGGACCTCCGAATTGATGGACACGAACGAATAAGCTGTTCAAACACAGGACAACAAAGGGCTTTCACAAAAAAAGAATGACGACAGGAAGGGCTACTGCGAGCTCATTACGACAAACGCGAACCCATATAGCGTTGATGATCAAGTATTTGTTAAAGATACAGCAATCGTCGCACTATTAAGCAGTGCGACGAGTGCGTGATGCAAAAGCAAAACGACATGTGAGTGAATATGTCTAAAGCGTGGTGACAACATGTTTAATCTCTTATTATTAAACTGCTTGCTTGACGTTGTGTAGGGACTCATAGTGCATCGAGATCGTGAACTCTTTAATATGAAATCAACCCAAATCAGCAAATTTGGGTCAAAGTTCAATATAAACGAGGGAGAGAAGTGCACATTTTTTACAACCGCATTTACGGACGACAGATGGGCTGCTGCATCCGATCTGCCCACCGCATGTTACTTTCATTCTTGCGCTCAATTTACTGAGCAATGAAAGCTTTCTCGCTGAGTCTGACCATTGCCGCAGCGCTCGTTGCAAGTACAACCTCAAAGGAAACCGAACGCGCTCATCAGACCGACATTAACTCGTGTGAAGATGGTGGTAATCATGTGAACCAACAGGACGATTCGTGTTCCAACGAGTCTTCCACCCCAGGTGCCATTTTTAAGTATGACGATTCGACGACGCAGACTGATCAGACAGAAAGTGATGATAGTGACGACGGTAATGAAGACCCTGAGGAAGCGGTGTCTTTTCAAAAAGTGACTCGGTTGGGCGTGCGTGTGCAAGGTGACATGCCAAAGTGGGATAAAATTCACAAGCGCTTTGTGTCGCCATACTACGACACGTTCGATGAAAATTATCGAGCCGTAGTTGACACTGTCAACATGGCATCTGTTGAAGGAGCTTTTAAGTACGTGCAGGCTGAGTGTATTAACGCGTCCGTCGTCACTTCTTGCGAACGAAAAAACAACGTCAAGTACGTTGTTTTCTTTCAAACGACTACTGTGCAGCCTCCTGCTGCTATGAAGTACTATGCGAATACCACAGATGAATATAAATTTGCCGTCGAAAGCTGTCCATTCATACCGATGGATGGTGGGCAATGTCATCCTAAAGATGATGGCTCTTTTCCTGACGAGTGTAACCAATACATTGGTGCAAATGGTCAGCCAGAGTTGGGCTTTTGTGTCGGTGGTTCACTCATGGACAGCGAACCGATTGCCCCGTACCCGCACAACTACTGGTTTTCATTTCCTAACAGTTGCCCTCAGAAGCTCTGGGCAAACAAAACGGATTCCTGTCGAGAAAAATATAATGGTGGTATGTGTCCTCTCGGCAAGGAGCCGGATGGTAAGACTTGTACGTTTTCGTACGAGATCCTCGGCTATATTTTGCTCGACGATGTCGTGGGGATTACTTCAATGGTTAACCCAGCCACAGGCAAAACGTACGCTGACTACTCCGACTTCTGTAAGGCTGGCGGTGTTGAGTTTAACGTCGTCATTACCCCAGGTAAGTTGTCGTTGTTAACAGACTTTTTGCCATCAACAGTAACTACCATTGAGAGTATTGAGTTCTGGGCCAACCCGGGCGATAGTGATGCCAATGCTAAGCGAATCGAAAAGCTTGTATCTGCATACGCCAAGCTCGTAGCAAGCAATCCCAAAACAAGTGACGGTGGTCTCATGCGGAAGCTGCCCACTACGAACGAGCTCAAAGCGCTAAATCCACCGTGCCACGTCAATAGTCCGTTCTGTGCTAAGTCCAAGTACGGATGCAAGCGATCGTACCTTTCACAAATTTGTCAATCCTGTACATCAAACGACTCGGACTGCGAGAAACCAAAGCATAAGTAACGTGTACACGTCGCGTGCAATGTATAAAGTACAGCAGAACGCAAACCATGTAGGATTTTATAACCCCTAGATTTACGTGTATGCTTTTGATTGAAAACTTTATTTGAAGACAGCGAGAGCATCAAAATCGATTTGAAAGTATCCAAGGACTCTCAGAGAGGCGGTTCATACCTTACTGCCAATCCCTTTGTAGTGTTGTTTAAGCTTGAAGATAGCGTACTTGGGGTTCAAACACTTCTTGTTTACTATGGACAGCATGGTATTTTTTTGGTCAAGCTGCGTCGGCAGTACGTCGTGTTCCTATTATAACTTAACCTCTTTTTTCTTTTACGTACCTCAAGTACACTTGTCGTATTTCAATAAGATTTGTACCAGATGATAGACCAGATGCAAGTGCCTGTAATACTTTTCATGCTGTCAGCGCCTCTACTTGTGTACCTTCGCTTGATTTCTAATCAACAACAGTATCACGTACCGCCTGTTAAGATGTAAGGTAAGCAAGATGCGATGAAAAATGTGTAGGGATCGAGAGATCGAGCAGCTATTCAATAAATTTTTATGTGGTGCTGTCATTTATGAACGAGTTGGCTCTCGTCTCAATCCTTATTTCTTGACAAGTTGACAGATCTGGTTGTAAGAACTAATTTTCAAAACCAAAGAACCCCTTCGCATGGCTCAGACGCAGAAGAGCTGATGGCCACATTAGATACGTCAATGTCCTCAACTTTTTTTGTGGCTATAACGGAGGATTCATTGAAGTTCTGGGCCGTCCAAGGAATTTGCTGCAGCAGAGCTTCAAAGCATAAGAGTTGCACCCGTAGCGTATGTAGCTACTGTAAGGCTAAGAAGGACTATTTTCAGTACTGAAACAGTGGCAGCAAGTGCCATCCAAGTAGTCTACTTATCAACCATTGACCACATGATACACATGCATCTGTGGTGTTTCATTAGGTGGTAGCAGTAGCACTGAAGGTCGTCTCAGTTATGGAAAATGCTGCTTCTACACCGTTAAAATCTACATTTTCCGTAGTTCACATTATTGTCCAAGTACCTCTTCAATATATGTGTGGCGTAAAACTGGCGTGTGTATGGCAGAACGACTTCTATCTCATCGTCATGATCGCAGCGAATCTCTGCTGCACAGGCATATTAAGACGCTGGCGCACATGAGTCTCAGTTGTTTTTACTGCTACCTTATCCATACCACGTTTGCAATGTAGCAATTCTTAAAAAACGAGACAGGTAAGTGACAGGTTTGGCGCATGAATCATCTTATCAGCAACTTTCTTCCTAATTCCAGCATATTTCTACTTGTATCGCAATATGGATGGAATGGAAAACAAAACGAAAGAGTCGCGCTGCAAGCACGTTGTAGTTAATTGAAAAAATGCACCTGCGAATAAATAGCGAGGTTGAAAATAATAGAAAAACGCATGGGAATCACGACTTGAATGTGTCTTCGAGTCAAGATATTGTTATATTCGCATTCGACAAATGGCAAACCTCAAGGCAGAACACAGACATTATTTGTCAATGGAATTACTGTTTTCTTACTTGACAGTTATTTCGAGATCTCATGCTATTTATACTCTCTCATATGATCAGAACTTAAAGACAGCATTGGCTCGTCCCAAACGAAGCATGCTTAATTAAAATTCAATCTCATTCCTCCTTTTCCTTCTCCAACCTAAAATCTCAAAGTATCAAGCAGCTATGCAGTTCGAGCCTCCGATTAAACCAGCTGACATGACTGTTAACATAACTGATGGCGAAAACAGCAACCAAGGCATTGACTCGAATGGCATTGTTACAGGCCGCTGGAAGACTGGTATCTTTGGATTTACTGACTCAATAGTGCCCAATGGTACGCTTCATACGTCTTTGTATCTTAGACATCTCTAACGAAAACCTAATTTTGCTTAATTAGGTATTATGTCTTGCTGTTGTCCTGGTCTCGTGGTAGCTCAAATTTCGGCTCGGCTGGGAATGACGCCATTTTATCACGTACTTGGTATCGTCGGAGGGCTATACCTATTGGCGCTTATTGCAATAACGAGTCACAGTGGCTTTCTTGAGTTTCTCTTTTGGCTGTGCTTCGTCATATCGGCCCTATGCATGATGCGATTACGATGGCGCATCCGCTCACTTTTTAGCATTCCTGGAACGTACGTAGAGGATGCCGCTTACACCTTTTTCTGTGGATGTTGTTCGGTTGCTCAGATGGCTTCGCATGTTGAATCGTATGAACCGGGCACTTTTGCTTTCACCCCACGCGCGACACTTCAAGGTTATTCCAATAATTAAAGACGTTAGTACTCCTTAAGTTTTAATTCAAATTACATATCGAGTCATTTATCGACAATTAATAATTGATATAGTCAAGGGGTTTTATGCATCAATATCTTGAGTACCTTATTGTCACAACTCTGAATATTGTCCTAACTTTTCATCTCAAGGAAAATTTGCCTGCTTTATAAAGTCACGGTACGTAACCTGTTAGAATGTAACATTTTTCATGTGGCGCTGTGCTTGGACGGAACATACAGCGTCGCTTATTGCGAGGAGCAAAGCGCGACATCGACGTAATTTGTTCCTGGAAATGCAGCCGATTTACCAAACAGTTCTTTAACTATTACAATTTGTGCTCGTTTTGAGAGTGCTCTTTCTAATTGCATCAAAGATAACTTATTCCAGTCAGTTAATCTGCTGACTACGCAAACATTTCTTGGATATCGAATGCCTATTTCTAAAACTGTCGTGAGTATTTTTTATCGCAAATTGCGATCATTTCGGTTTTCTTCTCACAAGTGGTATATCCCTAGACTTTGAGTTGGACATTTTTAAATTTGATGTGATTTGCATTGCCCGAAATCGGATTAGTGTTAGTGTCTACCCCGCTGAATACTCACTGCTCCCCTGCATCTCGAGTCTGTCTGTATAACTTTTCTTGCTACTGGTGAATATCGTGAAGTTCAAGATCAACCACTAACTACCAAGAGTTACATCCTGGTGATTGATTTTGAGGACGCAACGCTCATGACCAAATGCGTGACGATGGTGTTATTCACATACGCATTGACAAAAGAGGGTGCTTCTCGCTGGCCTACTTAGCGAAGCAAATTGAGATTTGAATGCCCTCGACTGATACCGTCTAGTTCTAAGTTTCAATGATTGCACGCACAAACTGTGCTTGACAATAATGCAGGCTCCTACGCTCCCCTTGAAAATGAATTATTGCAGCTGAATATGCTATTTGAGAACAGTTTTCAGATAAGGAAAGTTTTAGCGCTTAGGTTGCAAATTAGTACTTGAATATCAAGAGTCAAGATGCAATTTGAAGTAACGCTACAAACGCTTGCAAAGTATGTACACCTAATTATAAAAGAAATTGCAAAAAAATCAGGTCACTTTTTCGGACACCTTTGAATTGTTCGCTTCTTTTCAATGCAAATATCTCGATAATAAGACAAAACGATGTTTATCAGTCACTTAAGATCAAAATTCTACATCATGGGCCAAGCTTCTTCTAACAACAATATCATCACTACTGCCAGGAGGAAATCCACACCCACCTTGTTTCCACTTCCGTCCGACGAATCATATTTACCTCCGAACGCATTGCTTGACGTAAAGCTTGAGATTGTGTCAGCTAAAGTGCGAGATTCATCATATTACCGCTCTCCTTCCACTACGCACTCACGTCTTCCTATGCATGTTATTAGAATATCATTGCTGGCGATTATTTGGGTGTCACAGCGCTTCTTAAAGGTCAACTTACTTCCAGCGATGCTTACGTCGTAATTAAAGTGAATGGACAGCAAGTGGCTTGGACACATCCCGTCTTCTCCACCTTAAATCCTGTCTGGAACGAACAGTTTTTTTTTCGAAATGTCCAGCCTGACGAGCTGTGCGAATTGCATCTATACGATAAGGATGTAAATGCAGATGATGATCTTGGAGAGACGCAATTTGTAGCAGTCAACACAGACGGCATCGAATCGACTTTTGAGCTGGCTATTTCACTTCATGGCAGAGCTGCCGGTACCATTGTGGTTAAAGTCAAATCGTTTCCAATCGAGTCTACGGGTTGTGGTCCATTTTACGAATATGGTCCGGTTCGTTACTCCGTGCATTCAAGTGTAGCTGCTGGCCTCATGACCATGTCAACATCAAATGCTGCACGGATTGAGTCATTGGCGTACCATATTCAACTTCACAATATACCGCTATTTTTGCGTACGGAGCATGAGTGGAACAGGAATTATCCAGCTATTCAACGAATCTTTTCGCCTGATTATCCCGAGTCTGCAGTACTTCGTCAAGCCATTATGACACAACACGCTGTCATTTACACACACGGCCCCAAAAAGTCAACTTACGGGGCCATTTCGTCTTCATTGGAATTCTTGCAGCTCATTCAAAATGGTCGTCGTCAAGGTAGATCAGTGCTATTTACCTATGTCATCACAAAAAATGGTTGGTATTTCTCAGAGACCGGTGCAGCCTTTTTTAAAGATATGTTATCAAAACATATGCTTCACTCTGGTGCCGCGTTTTCTGTTATGTACGTAAACTATCTGCTGGTCTGATGTAACCTTTACAGCTTCAGCTCATTGTATTTATGCACAGGTATGCGGGTGAGTTTCACATTGATGATAATTTGTTTGGAGAGCCGAAACTTGTTATCGACAATGATAGCGGCACGTATGCACCACCAAAAGAAGATTTGCCGCGGCTCAAAGCACTGATGGAGAATAATTTTCCTGGTTTGGCTATAGAGGCGTTGGATCGTGAAAACGAAAATTCGCAGAGAACACGCAAGGCAATTTTGGATTCGTGGGCATAAGTGATTCATGATGTCAGTTCTTTTGCGTTGTTTTCTACATGTGAAATTCAAATAGAGACTTGGACGAAAGTCTCAAGATTGTTTAGTCTGTGCGACGTTTGCTATACACTTGGGTCGTAGAATTGAAAGTTGAAAGAATGTTAAGAATATGTATTAAGCAAAGTAATGCATGTGAGTATCAAATAGCCAAAAGCGCACTTAGCCGGGTAGTGTGTAGAACACATCATTTTCATTAAAAATTCAAACCGTTGATATATGCAAGTGTGAAGGAAAGGTCCGTTGATGCGGATTTGCTGTGCACTCATCACAGACGAAGCTTTGGCTCTTAATCTGCGCGCTAACAATAGCACTAAGGTTGCACTGGTAGTCAGTTCCACGATGGAGTCGTGAAACGACTGTATTCTCTGCGAGGAGGAAGTATAAATTGTTTAAGTACCTGTCGCTGGTACAAAGCGACCAGGTTAAGAAGCTAATGCGATTCGTGGCCTCTGATGGGATCAAGGAACTGGTGGTCAAAGGACTGGAGGCGGTTATCGCTCGCCTGTTGGCGCGCTCATGATAAAGCGCAAACTAGCTAGACAAATCCAGGAGCGACCCACAGTCGTGATGCCGCTTATATTAATCGTCCAGTTCGTATTGAGGAGGGCCAGAAATTCCTCACCTACTAGACAAATAGAGTTGATTGGCCAATTTTTTGGCCGTGCATCAGACATGTTTTAGTAGTACTTATGTAACAGAGTCTTAATTTCATTGAAAGCTTCATTTGATGTGCGTACCTGTATGGTAAGGCGGGTTTCCAAGATGGTGCGACCGTTCATTAGTGTGGATTATACAAGACGGTGTTATCACACAATGGAGTGGCGACACCGAAACAAGAAACTACCAAGTAGCAGGACTGCCAGTAATGCATATTCATTAGGTCTTTTTATTTGATTGGAAAAATAAGGTTTTAGATATAGGCGCCTTTTCGCACATAAAACAACTAATCACAGTTTTAATTTTGAACGGAGGGTACATTTGCTTTGGTTAAGGTTCTGGGTACTCTTGGAGGTAGCGGATTGCGATCCGCTACACTCGTACTGGTTCTAGTATAGAACGTAAGGTCGGTGATCGTAGCTTAGCTCCTCCGAGCAAAGAGCTACAGCAGCCCCGCTGCAACTTAAGCTAGAGGCCGCAAACATGATTGCTTACTAAAGTGTTGTACCTCTGTAGTTGAGGCATCTATGATATGGAAAGTGTAAAATCGATGAACTCTCTAACGCAATTGTTCGTAGGCCTACAGTATGCGATACTCTCCCTGATGAGGTAACAGCTGTCATCACATTGAAAGAGTTACGTATGTGTGCGGCTCGCTTCGAAGTCCGCACCATTCACTCGAGGTTGGCACTGAAGGTCGCATTCCCACGTAGTGTCGATCAACGAGCCGCTCGCATAGAATCATCGAGTCTTAGTAAGCTGTCCAACCTCATGAAGGTTAATGTCAATGGATCCAGTTTATAAGAGGGTACTTAAAAAAACCTTTGAATTACCACAATCGTTGTGGAATCAAGGGGGACACCATACTACTGATACCAGACGACAGCTTACAGAAGTATCGGAAAAGAAATATGTTCCTGGTGCATCTTGCAACGGATACACAGGTAATGGAAAAGAAGGTTGTGAATAATCTTCTCGTAACGTAAAGAGCTATGACACCGAAGAACATTGTCTCATCCTGGATGCGAACAGCTAGAATTTCATTCTTTGTATGCTGTGCGGGCACCAATAATCATATGTCGACTGGGAGTCAAGAAAATTAGCTTCCACGCACGTTTTTTCATCTGAATTTTTGGTATGTCATAAACACATCTCTGTCAAAAATCGACACGCATTTATTCGAGCCATAAAGCTGCAATGACTTCTGTGTAGGACATTGCATTGTCCAAAATTGATAGCAATGATATTGCTAAGTGCCTTGAGTAAAAACTGAAATACAATGGGGTCAGTGAATTGAGGTACTAGGGTGTGATGTAACAAAGTATATTGCTGTCATAAAAGTGTATCACTGTTGCGAAGGGAAAGCGCGAATATCCAGTGTAGGTTTAACGAACTTATTAGCTAAGAGATGCTGACTTTTGCTGCAGGACCTGTGGGGAGTAGAAGGGGCTGGGTAATCTTCAGGGTGAATTTGAAGCTCAACTGTGAAAGTCACGGTCCTGAAAATATGAAGGACAGATCATCCGTGTGTCGACGTGACTGCACTGACTAGCCATCACACAGTTGTAATGGAGCGTTTGGCGTAATAAAGTAAGCGACGTAAGATCCATCACGCATGTTGCCCTGAATTGTGGTGTGCATCAAATGAAGCAGATCTAATTTATGAATTTTTACATTATGCTACACGTCGATGATCCGTACTAAGAGAGCAGCGAGCTGTCACGTACGCTTTATCACGCCAGCTACTAAACGCGTTTGGTGTGAAAAGTAAACCTCCACGCTGGGCACCGACTTTTTTTAGCCTAACAGCAAGTGGCGAATTGGGCATGCTCACGATGATATAAAAGCAGCAACGATTCCGGCGCAATTGCTGACTTCTGGAAGAAATGTGCCGGTCAACATCATACTTGATTGCACTCGTTTAGTGCCCTTGACCTGGTTGAAATAAAAATTCAGCTGCTGATAAGAAACAGCGATATTTCTCTTACTGTGGTGAGTTGTCCGGGCAGATTGCTCTGGGAGCTGCTGATTATTTTTCAAATCAGCTGATGCACCACTGGTTCAATCATCTGGTGACGCAGCTATCCTAGTCACATCGTGGTTATGCACAAACCTATTCCAATGATATCGTCGACCGCAGTCGTCCAGACCACGATAAGTCGGGTGTAAAAAAAACAAATTGACAGGCAGAAAGCGTTATTCACGGGGTGTATCCTGTTTTTCGAAGCACATGTGCGATGATACCACGGTGCAAGGTAAGTAGTTTCTACCCATTAAATCTGCGATGAAATATTCAGTACATGCATATACAGACTTTATTCAGTTGAACATAGTTGGTCAACCATCAGGTGAGTTTAAAACCCTCCGATCTATCGATCAAATTTGACTTGCCGATGTCGCTTCGTAGCAGAATCAATGAATTATCCCGATGAGATTAAGCGTCATACCTGGTGCGCACATGAGTAAGAGAACCTTTCAGGAACTGCTAAGTAGCCAAATTTAGATGCATGCGAAAACCACACAGATACGTGCTGTCTGATAATTTTTTTATTGATTGCAAAGAACCCACTAAAATTCGCAGCTTCTGCGGTCCGTAGCTCTGATGATCGGGCACGGCATAAGGGTGCAGGTAGACTTTAAGTGCTGTGCTTGTTGGCTGGCGCGGTCACTATTTAAAAATTATCTTCAAGTTTCGAAAAGTCTGAGCCCTAGGGCGGTACATATCGCATTGATGTAGGCTGTGAGGAGGTATGCTCTGGGCATTTGCGCACTTTTACCTTCAATATTTGGTACAGTGATTGAATCACATTAATGTGCAACTGTTGAAAATATGCTCCACCTAGTATTCAAAAACACCAAAGTATCGATTTTTAAGGAATTAACAGATTTCTGTAAGAGACGTATGATTTACGTGGGCTGCTAGCCGCATGTCAGATGATGAAGATGGGTTAATTATGAAAGATAGTTTATCGTATATATTCAGTAATGATCCAGATAGAACAAGCTCACAAAATACAAGTTATTTAAAAAACAGAGGTAAGTTAGCACCTAGTCACGGTAGAGGCGCTTCTGACAGGTAAGTACTCAAGGACGCAACTTCTGTGCGCTTGTTGACGTGGACTCTTAAAGCCAAAGCGTTCTCTGTGCGAAGTGCACGACAACCACGTCGCATGTAACTACTCAATAGTACATTACTAGCCTCCCTGCACTAGTAAACGTGGCCTTTTTAATCAGATACTTCAGTGCGTGGCAACCTCACTACTTTGATACAATTTTTGTTTCCAAAGCCAAAACTATTGCAGATTAAATGCAAACTAATTATATAATTGTAACAGCTATTTTGTATATTAATACATCGTGATCAGGAGAGTCATACCGCTACATTATTGAGGGGGTGGCACAAACGTTCGCCGCATTCTTTCTTACGGTTTATCACAAAAAACATATTTATTCTATTACAAGAGTCTAGCGAAATGATGTATCGGCCATCGCAGATGATGTAGAGTCGTACAAATCATGCGTAATATGGATTGCAGAATCTATAAAAATTTGTTGTAAATCGTCATAGAATTTTGTATAAGAATCTCTCAACAAACACTCCATCAGAAAAGAGAAAGGATGGCATTTGAGGTGTAACTAAATCGAACCTATTTTCTCAAATATGTTTTTAGGTGAGCAGCGCTTAATTGGTCAAACCTCGGATATGTGAGTATGCTAAATGCATGTTAATACTAAATCCTGTTCACTTTTTTCAATAAACTATTTACTCCCATGCATCAAGAATCTCCTTACGCCTCTTGGCTGACGCCTCATTCTCACGGCTTAACGCCTCACAAATGATCCCCGGAAAGTTGTTTTCCATGAGTGATTTCAACTGTGGCAATATCTTCGAACTCGGGGCATACGTACCACTATTGTTGTCAATTACCAACTTGCTAGTGCCGTCGTTCTCTTCTTCAATGCGAAATTCGCCGGCATATTTGACGGATTCAGCAATATTTGAATGCATCATATGCTTCGACAACATGTCTTTAAAAAAGCCGGCTCCAGTCTCAGAAAAAAACCAGCCTTGTGAAGTAATCACGTACGTAAACAGCACAGGCTTACCGTGACGCATTCCGTTGCGGACGAGATGAAAGAAGTCATCAGGGGAGGTAAGGTATCCGTATTTTGTACTTTTCTTTTCGTGTTTGTAGACCACAGCATGTTGTTTCTTGACAATTTCACGAAGAATAGGTGCCTCGGGATGATCAGACGCGAATACTCGCTGAACTTTCGTGTAGTTCTTATTCCATTCGTTATCATTAGGCAGGTATAGAGGGACATTGTGCAGCTGGACAATATACGCCAACGATTCCCAGTCTTCATCGTCGGACGTCAACTTCTTAAGCGCTCCTGCCCGATAGCTCGAGTGCACAGAGTAGCGAACAGGACCGACTTCTTCAAGCACAGCATTTGAGTCAGCATTGACCTGTTGTCGGTTGACCTAAAGAGATGACGAATTAGTATGAGAAGGTGAAAATCAACTTTAAATTTACCTTGATGCTGATGATGCCTGCTTTGCGATCACCTAGCGTTATTGGCAAGGATATCATTTCGTTCGGATCGAAATTGGTGTGAGTAGTGTTGAAATGTGCTTCTCCACGCTCATCACCGTCTATCATGTCTGTTTCGAGCACGATCAGTCTGAACGTCGAGTCCTCTGGGACGTTATTGAAGTAAAACTTTTCGTTCCACTGAGGATTAACCGAATCGAAGACAGGATGCGACCAGGCCATCGGCATGCCATTGATTTCAATTTTAGTGTACGCATCACTCGAGAAGAGCTTGCCCTTTACCCTTGCCGCAAAATCTTGGTATTCACTTTGCTGGATATGATAGGAAGAACACAGTATTAGTGAGCTTCATTTTCATAAAGAGAATAACGATTCAGAGAATCACATTTTATCACCTGTGCAGAAACAATCTCGAGACCCACATTGAACAATGGGGCGGTAGGGGTGTTTAAAAGCGGGAATGGAACGGACATCTTCACACGTTGCGGCTAGTGCCAAATCAATAATGGAGTCTACAGCGTGCAGTAGTTGTATGATCTGAGCCAGTTTAAGATTCAGTTATGCCAAACAAGACGGAGAACATAATGCCCTCTGCATATGATATAAAGGCAAGGTATTCAGAGCAGGTCTAGTAAGCAAAACCATAGTCCTGGAGTTCTGAAACGCGCTAACAATAAGCACCTTCGCATATTATTCAGAGTAGCCAGATTTCACAGCTGTTCAAGCGTCATCCAGCTTTGTAGATATCATTCAAGACAATTTCTTAAGGATAAGAAATGAAATATACCCACTGCGAATCTGATCGAAAGTTGGACCGTCTTTTTGTGCCGGTTACATCTTGGCAGCGATCCATTTCCTGAAAAGTTGGACATCATGATCAGAAATCGCTATCAACAGACCACCGCTCTATGAAAACAAGCATATGTTGCCATCCTAAAATGAGAGATATGGTCCGTGTGATCAAGCAACGGCTTTAAAATTTTGGCATGCAGTATGGCTTGAATCGGCAATATTTTTATCAAATAGAGTTTATATCCCCAGTTTTGCCATCTATATTTTTATTAATGAATATTCTAATATAAATTAGTACCGAGCTGTAACGGTGTTGCCGCGCACCTTGCATGAAGGATGCTTTAAACTATAGGTCCATGCTAGCAATCACAGTTAGTTGTACTTGTGCACGTCACTCAGAAGAATCTCTTGGTCTCAAAACTATTATTTTCTATATATATATATTGTACAAGTTTTACATGTATACAAATTGACGCTACGATTCTGTATGACAATGAATTTAAAAAGACACCAAAAAATAAGTTTAGATGACAAACGATGGGTTTCCGAAAAGAAGAGGCTGTGGTAAACACGTCAAAAAGCAACACAGATAGCTTTATTACCAATTGAAGTAGAAGAGATCTATATGACATTAGCCTGGATAAAATTATTCCTGTTCGGTTTATGAGAAATTGTGAACATATGACTGAATTTACACCTTAGTACATAAAGCGAACAGGTTTTTGTGGATATACAATAGTACATTGGTGTAAGGGTGCGTAATGTACTAATGTTACGTAATGTACACAATAGTACTATTGTGTACTATTGGAGGGTGTAAAGGGGTACGTACACAATAGTACATTACGTACCCCTTTACACCCTCCAAACCATGATGAAGATTACATTCGGACTTCTTTCGTCATTTTGATACATTGTGTAAACGTGATTGCTCCACGCCTACTGCAAGCTGCCGTAGCTCTTTGCTTAGAGGAAGCTCAGCTAAGGTCACCGACCTTACGTTCTATATAAGAACCAGTACGAGTGCAGCGGATCGCAGATCGCTGCCTCCAAGACTACTTAACGCCTTAGCCAAGGTAAATGAACTGCTCCGTTCAAAGTAATAGCTATATATAATTGTTTTAGTTGCGGCAGAGCCGCCAAATTTCTAAAACTTAAGGTTTTCCTGATTAATATTGTAATAATTTACTAGCATAGGCAAACCTAATTAATGTGCATTACTATTAGCCACGTAGTGGCTCCTTGTTGCGGTGTAGCAATACCATTGTGTGATTCCACCGACTTGTGCAATCCACACATCTGTACGGTCACACCATCTTGTGTGACCCACCCTTTCATACGAGGTTACACCATCTTGTGTGACCCACCCTTTCATACGAGGTGACGTGTAACCCCGTTACACTCTCCCCCATTCAAATTATAAAAATCCACAGTTCACATTTAATGGTCTCCTCATACGAGGCTCGCGTGTCTGAGACACTGTTACATTTTTAAGAACAACCTTAAATATTCTCCGCTCAATGAGTCCTGTATCTATGACATGAAAAACACCCAGCCTAGCTGGTTCCGAGGGCGCCCGCGGGCAATACCCTTATTCCTGCGCACAGGGTGTATCTCCGGACAGTACGTCCGCGGCTTCACGGGAAGCACATCCCAAGTCCTCGGCAACCGAGCGCAACGCATCGCGCCCGCCACGGGCGACGAATTTCCGCGTCGAGGAGTTGGGGGAAGTCGACTACAAGTCGGATACTTCTTTCCCAATATGGGATGACGAAAAGAATGAGGGGCGCCAACGGCACGTCATGATCACAGCTCGAACCTTGCGGACACCATGTTTGTGGTCCTACCTCTCGACTTCCGGGGGAAGTGGTATTGTTACCAATTGCCTCGACGAAGCACAGGAGCAGCAAATGGGGGCTGCCGACAGGGCGGCTCTCATGCGCTCGTATCAACGTTTGGTCTTAGACCATAGTGTGGAATACGGCTTTTGCTCGGTGGATCCCGCAACCGAAGCGAAAGACGCGATCACTCGATCGCTAGGCGTCTACGTAGTCGGGCCCCCAGCCACAACACAAACTGAGCTTGATCAGCGAAAAGCTCTGCGAGATCGCTATTTGGTACTCCAAGAGATCTCAATAGACCGGTACCGCGCTCGACTTGGAGCTCAGAAAGAAGGCGCTCCTAGACCTGCAATGCGGACTATTGCTGTGCTGCTCGCCGCTGGCGAAACTACGGTGGATGATGAGGAGGTATTTAAGCGATGGGTGCAGCGGCACCGGCAACTTTCCTCGCTGTCGACCTTACAGCAAAGTCACAAGAAAGTAGACGTGCGCGTTGAGCGCTATCATAGATTTGAGTTTGCCAAACTTACGGCGCAACGCCGTCTTCCTGCGTATTTTCGCCCTGCGACACATGGAATCATCCATCACGCTCCCACTAGACCATTTCTCACACGGGTGAGGCTTCGGCCACAGCGGCTCAGGGACATAGCTCAAGCTCAGCTCATGGCTCTCCGGCTCCCGGGCTGCTGAAGCGAAACGCCGTGCGCACGACAACGCGAAGCATCATTATTACTCTGATCAAAGTGTCCACGACATCTGGACAGTCCTGCCGAAGTGGTACCTCAAACTCCCACGAATATTTCCGCCACTTCACAAGATATTGGGTCAGACCCTGTCGACGACGTCGACCCACAAGACATTTCACGTGATAGTCGACGCTGCCATTCTAATCTGGAAGAGTTGGCGACGAACACTACTTGGTCAATCACCGTTCGGTGAGTTTGAAGTTCTCAACTCAGAGAGATTATTAACAGTCCTCGATATGAACAAACAGTATGAAGTGATTTGATGTATGCCGTAACTTGATAAGCATGAGCCATGGATTGATTTGCGATCAAAACGATTAGAAGTAGCTATCATGGCGTAGGTGAAAGCGCTGTGAGTAATGAACCCACATTCACTTCGCGCAGGGTGGAGCGTTCAAGCGCTTGGCAATTGTATGCCGCTATTAGTGATTCACACTTCTTGGTATATGTCATGCGTTTGACATTCGCCAGCTTAGAGAAGATACGGAGTCGTATGGAGTGGCCATGGGTGGTCACTCAGGAAGTATGTCAATGGACCATGTGGTACCCAAAAATGCTTAGAGTTTCTCAAGCTTCGGACCTCATAGTTTGTAAAGTTCTTAGTACCAAACATTTAATAATCCCCAACAATAATAGAAATTCTGCCATGACGACCTCGTCTATCTGTGTATATTCTTCTGTAAATCTTGCGCATTTAACGTTGCATCTCGCACTAGTGTGATCACAAAAACATGACTCATGACAAATGAGTCCGGGGCGTCCTTGTCCCTGCGATTCACATTCGATTCATTTGTTTGTATCGATATAGCAGGCAACGAATCGCCGAGATTTCTCCCACTTACATCAGGGATACCACCCGGTCAGGGTACTTCTTCTTAATCGACATGACACGATCGAGTCCTTCTGAGATCTTTTGCAACAGTGCACGATCGATTTTAAACTCAGAAGCATCACAGAACACGCTATACAATTTCGCGTCATCTGATAAGGCAAGAAATGGTGCTCTCATCATATCATTCTTGATTTAAGTGAATTCCTTTTCAGGAGTGAATTACCACTCCTATAGTACGTCCTTCTTCAGCAAAATGTGATAGTGGACGTAACATTGTCGCGTAATGACGCAAAACGTGATGCAGATAACTGGGGATTCAATTTTTATAATCCTTTTGATTCCGTAAAGTTGGCCACTCCATGATTGCGTTGACCTTCTCAGGGTGTACACAAATACCGTACTAACCAACATAACAATCGAGGACCGGTACTTCGTTAGTGCCAAAAATACTCTTTGCAAGATTGACTTGCAACAAATATTCACGCATACATTCTAGCACCACACAAGTGTTTTCTAAGTGAAGTTCGTGGCAGACCTCACATCTTCGTTCAGAGAATGAACGAGCTATATTGTTGCTGGGGCATTGGATAGTCCTTATGGCATCACAAGTCACTCCCAAAACATACCGGACGGTATACTAACAGTCGTAAAAGGGACGTCTTCCCCCCACATCAAAACTTGGTAATAGCCATCAACAGAATTAAGTATACTAAACTTTGTGCAGCCGGATGCGGTGGATAATGATACTATACGCAGGAATGGCGTTTAAGCAGGGCTTGTCTGCGCAATTTGCTTACTGTAGGAAAAACAAATTTGCCATTTGCAATTTGGTTTGAGCACACAATTCGTCGGCGAGCTGTGAGGGGACGTTCTCTCCCTCACCAAACCAACACTTTTCGTTTTTAGCAAAGGCATAATCGATATACTCACTTTGCTCACGCGACCGAAATCACTGTCGAAGCACTACATGCTTTAAAGCGGGTACACGATGAAATTCATGTCAAAATTCACGTTCGA